TCAATTTCTTTTTAATTACATAAAATTGATTTCAAACTCTTTTCCATTTTCCTTCAAAACATGAAATCAAAATTGAAAACGTCTTAGAAAATCATTTGCATGTATGAACCTGACATCAAAATTAACTAATTTTATATTTTTAATAATTTTCTTCATATCAAACCCAAATTCAAATTCGTAAAACTCAAACTAATTAATTTCCAAATTTATTTCCATAATCTTAAACTTAATTCCATTTTTCTTCATCTTGTTACTAATTCCTTTTAATTACATGATTTTGATTCCAATTTCATCTTTAATTTCAAGTGTAATATAAAGATTCTACAAAAACCAAGCATAATTTCATACCTTGAACTTTAATCTCAAAAAGTTTAGTTGATTTTGTTCTATTTCTCTTGTTTTGCCTAGCTTTTCTTTCCTTAGTTTTTCTTCTTCTTGCTGAAATTTGCTTCTCTCTCTCTCTCTCTCTCTCGATTTTCTTTACACTCTTGAACGAACTCTCTTTCTTTTGAAAATGCTCTCAGCTAAACACCCCAAATGGGTCTCATTCAAATCCTTTTAACATATACACACATGCACATCTCTCTTGTCGACAACACATAGCACACATGCACCTTTTTTCAACCCTCCAGCATAGCACCCACACACATATACAATCAGATTTCTCAATACACCCACAGAAATTTCTCAACACACCCACACACATATACACTCAATTCTAGATTCTTCCACAATTCAATTTATGTTTAGGATTAATTTAATTAAGCAACACTTAATCTTAATAAATCTTGATTAACATATAATTAAATTAATCATAAGTAATCTCAAATCCCATATAATTTAATTAGTCTATTTGACTTTCATTATAGCCCAATTAATTATATTTAAATTTATCTGTCTGAATCAGATTTTTAATCAAGCTCTCATATGGTCCAATACTCGAAATTAAAATAATTCAATTCACCAATTATACTCTCTTAAGCCATTTAGACTTTTAATTTCAAATTCCAAAATAAATTCTTAATAGATTCATATACGAATCAGTCTCCATAATTTTCATAAATACATATTAAATTAGAATAATGGGCAATTAAAATTCAAATCTTCTTATTATACTTGGTAGGGTCGTCACAAATATCTAGTGCTATTGTCAATAAAAGTAATGAAATACTTTTTTCCACACCAAGTTTGAACAAATTTCAAATCACAAATAAATAGAGTTTTATTGCAAAGAGAATTCGGGTAAACGGTTTTTTTTTTCAAATTAAAAATGTCCACCAAACCGTAACCAAATAAATTCAGTAAAATTTTTATTTAGGTTGAGAATCTTATCAGCAACAACCATGTTTCAAAAAATAATAATTTGAAAAATTAACACTAGAACCAGAATGCAGAAAAACAGAGTTTGACTGAAACACCGTTACGGTAAAAATAATATTGTCTCAACAGTATTGAAAGGCCACACATATTATACTGAAAGAAAACTGAATCCCACAACAAACGGTAAAGCAAAATTTGTTTTTTTCTTAGTAAAAAAGGGTATAGTACAGAAAACCAAACCAGAGTTTTACTGTACACGAAATCCAAGAGAAAAAAAAATAGTAAAACCAAAAACAAATATTGCAGGATCACTACAAGAATTTACACAATTGCCGACCACTTTTGCCGACCAAAAAAATTTTAGTCGCAAAAAAATGACATTTGACGACCAAATATTAATTAGTCGCGAATGATCATTATTTTTGGCGACCAAATATTATTGGTCGCAAAAGGTTATATTTTGGCGACCAAAAAATGAGTTGGTCGCAGAAAGTGGTATGCTTTTGCCGACCAAATATAAATTTGGTCGCGGAAGGTCACATATTTTTGGGCGACCAAAAATTTGGTCGCCAAAAACTTATTTTCAACTACCAAAAAAAATTGGGCGCCAAATTAGTACATTTAGCGACTAATATTTTAGTCGCCATTGATTGAGATTTGGCGACTAAAAAAATTTGTCGGCGAAGGTACCTTTTCTGCGACTAATATGATATTTGGTCGCCAAAAGTTTGGGAAGGAAATTTGAAACGTGAAGGTGGGAATTAGGACTGGGCATAGGGTCATTCGATCAGCACAACCCGTCCTACCCGACCCTACCCGTACGGGTATGGGCGGTTTCACAAATATAATAGGGTAGGATGCGGTTTGAAATATTTTTAATTTTCGGATTGAGGGCGGGTTGCGGGTTTGAACCGCATCCGACCAACCCCGCGCATAACTTTTTTTATTTTTTAATTTTTTTAATTTAATTTTTTTTTTCCAGAAGATCTGGACCGTTAACTTCCCTTCATCTATACCCAAACAAAACAAAGAAAGGAAAAAAAACCCTAAACTCAAAAACACATTACGCAGCTCTCATCTCACACTCTCTCTCGTTTTTCAGTCTCTCACTCTCATCTCACTCTCATCTGATCAGTCTCTCATACTCACTCTCTCACTCTCATCTCATCACTCATCTCGGCCGATCAACCTCGCAAGAGATCGACTCTCACTCATCGCAAGATTGACCGATCGACCTCATACTCTCATCGCACCGATCGACCTCCCAGGTACGGATCTCTACGTCGCTGTCTGTCTCTCTTTCCTCTCCAATCTCTGATTTTTTTGTGTTATTGAGATCTGTGTCACTCTGTGTGACTAAGATTGTTTGTCAATGGTATTTTGTTGTGGGATCTGGCTGAGGGAAAGAAGCTTTACTTGCTCGATTCGGGTTCGATTATTACATGGCTGTGCTTTAGCCCTAATAGGTACTGGCTCTGTGCTGCTACTGAGGCGAGCATTAGGATTTGGGATTTGGAGAGCAAGACCATTGTTGTGGATCTCAAGGTTGATGCCAACTAGGAGGCTGAAATGAACCGTGTCGTCTGGTGTTAAAAACAAGGTTTAGTATCGTTAATTTAGTATATATGGATTTTGGGTTTTTATTGCTTTTGTGTTTCTTGATATATCTTGCCATTTAAATGTTTTTTTTGATGTGTTTGTGTCGTAGATACTTGATGAATACATATAGGGCCTGTTTGATTAAGAGGATTAATAGTAAGTGGATTAACAATCATGAGATTAGTGTATGTCACAGATGTTGAATAAATTCAAGGTCAGGGAACTATACATTGTTTGCTCAATTGACATTGATGAGGAATCATTGTACACCCAAGTCATAAAGTTTTGGGATGTATTGCCATTGGAGGAATTTTCAAAATTGGTTAAATGTTTGGATGGCATATTTGGGACGTACACAGATGATTATCTCAACCGTTGCAAGGTCAAATGCCATGATGGGTAAGTAAATTCTCGTGTACCCTCCCTAGTGTATCTAAATCTTTTTTTGTGTTGACTTCTAAATTTTTAAAGTTTAAATTACCAACCTATGGAACATAATTAAGGTCATGCTCTACAAAATGGATATCAATTTTGTCTTTCTAATATTCTATCATTGTCGTCGTAATTGCTATCATCTTTCTTTCTTTCCTTTTTTTTTTTTTTGGAGTTTAGGGATTTTGAAGTTCCCATGACATGGACACTCTCTTCTGGTCTTATTCAATATAAGAATCTCAGTGAGACCGAAAATGGGAAAGCTTTAATAAATGATGCCTCTTTGATTGGCAAAGGCTATGTTGAGGATGCAAAGGTGAGTGAGAGTTTGTTACTGATGAAATTGTACTCGTTGTCAATTGGGGCGGTCAGCCACCTACTATCTGGCTGCAATGGTAAAGAACTGTGTCTTCCTTTCGAATTAACAAACCAAGAGAAAGAGATAATTCATTTCAACAGAAGCACCTTTATACTTGGAAGGTCAGGCACTGGGAAGACCACTGTTTTGACCATGAAATTATTTCAGAATGAGCAACTGTGTCATTTAGCATCTGAGGGTTATCATCAAGTTCAGAGTAATCTATCCACTGATGATAGCTGGAGGCACAAGGAGGATAGTAGTGAGACTAATCAGATTCAGGAGGCTAAAAGAGATATCTTGCACCAAATTTTTGTCACAGTGCTGTAAAACAACATGTTTCTCAGTTGAAAAGGTACTGCTGGTTGGTTCTATTTTTGTTGTTTTAGGGCTAGATGTATTTATTATCATTGTGTTCAATTCTTTTTATTTTTTATTTTTTTATAGCTGAAGTTTTCTGTGTAAATGGCTCTGATAGTACATGTGAAATGGAATACATATATGTACATTATTCTAAGTCAACTAAACAAATTTTCTTTATGGCTTTCTAAAACGTCCTAGTTTTCTTACTTTAATTTAGCAGTATGCTATATTTCAGATTTTCAAAACATATAAATAAATGTTTCTCAAGGAATTTTGAAAATTTGCATTAATTTAGGAGGTGTTTGGCATGTGCTAAAATAGCACATGCCATTTTAGCACACTATCCTATTTGGCCACAATCATCTTATTTGGGGGTCACATCACTTCTCTACCACATCATTTCAAACCCAACCCATATTTCACATTTTTTCGCAAAGAGACCGCTCGATCAAGCTGTGGAACACTTTGGGTGAGTGTAAGTACACGATTTAGGATGGTGATTGAAACTCGATTGGGTTAGTTGTGTTCGATTTAGCCCTAATAATCTTCAGCCTAGGATTGTGTCTTCGTTTTAGGATCGGACTGTGAAGATTTGGAATTTGACCAATTGTAAGATTAGGGCTTCGCTTGCTGGGCATTCTGGGTATGTGAATACGGTGGCCGTGTCGCCCGATGGGTCGCTGTGTGCGAGTGGTGGGAAAGATGGGGTTATTTTGTTGTGGGATCTGGCTGAGGGAAAGAAGCTTTACTTGCTCGATTCGGGCTCGATTATTAATGCTCTGTGCTTTAGCCCTAATAGGTACTGGCTCTGTGCTGCTACTGAGGCGCATTAAGATTTGGGATTTGGAGAGCAAGACCATTGTTGTGGATCTCAAGGTTGATGCCAAGCAGGAGGCTGAAATGAACGAAGGCGGAGCTGCCGTGTCGTCTGGTGTTAAAAACAACGTTTAGTATTGTTAATTTAGTATATATGGATTTTGGGTTTTTATTGCTTTTGTGTTTCTTGATATATCTTGCCATTTAAATGTTTTTTTTGATGTGTTTGTGTCGTAGATAGTTGATGAATACATATAGGGCCTGTTTGATTAAGAGGATTAATAGCAAGTGGATTAACAATCATGAGATTAGTGTATGTCACAGATGTTGAATAAATTCAAGGTCAGGGAACTATACATTGTTTGCTCAATTGGCATTGATGAGGAATCATTGTACACCCAAGTCTTAAAGGTTTGGGATGTATTGCCATTGGAGGAATTTTCAAAATTGGTTAAACGTTTGGATGGCATATTTGGGATGTACACAGATGATTATCTCAACCGTTGCAAGGTCAAATGCCATGATGGGTAAGTAAATTCTCGTGTACCCTCCCTAGTGTATCTAAATCTTTTTTTGTGTTGACTTCTAAATTTTTAAAGTTTAAATTACCAACCTATGGAACATAATTAAGGTCATGCTCTACAAAATGGATATCAATTTTGTCTTTCTAATATTCTATCATTGTCGTCGTAATTGCTATCATCTTTCTTTCTTTCCTTTTTTTTTTTGAGTTTAGGGATTTCAAAGTTCCTATGACATGGACACTCTCTTTTGGTCTTATTCAATATAAGAATCTCAGTGAGACCGAAAATGGGAAAGCTTTAATAAATGATGCCTCTTTGATTGGCAAAGGCTATGTTGAGGATGCAAAGGTGAGTGAGAGTTTGTTACTGATGAAATTCTACTTGTTGTCAATTGGGGCGGTCAGCCACCTACTATCTGGCTGCAATGGTAAAGAACTGAGTCTTCCTTTTGAATTAACAAACCAAGAGAAAGAGATAATTCATTTCAACAGAAGCACCTTTATACTTGGAAGGTCAGGCACTGGGAAGACCACTGTTTGACCATGAAATTATTTCAGAATGAGCAACTGTATCATTTAGCATCTGAGGGTTATCATCAAGTTCAGAGTAATCTATCCACTGATGATAGCTGGAGGCACCAGGAGGATAGTAGTGAGACTAATCAGATTCAGGAGGCTAAAAGAGATATCTTGCACCAAATTTTTGTCACAGTGAGTCCAAAATTGTGCTTTGCTGTAAAACAACATGTTTCTCAGTTGAAAAGGTACTGCTGGTTGGTTCTATTTTTGTTGTTTTAGGGCTAGATGTATTTATTATCATTGTGTTCAATTCTTTTTATTTTTTATTTTTTTATAGCTGAAGTTTTCTGTGTAAATGGCTCTGATAGTACATGTGAAATGGAATACATATATGTACATTATTCTAAGTCAACTAAACAAATTTTCTTTATGGCTTTCTAAAACGTCCTAGTTTTCTTACTTTAATTTAGCAGTATGCTATATTTCAGATTTTCAAAACATATAAATAAATGTTTCTCAAGGAATTTTGAAAATTTGCATTAATTTAGGAGGTGTTTGGCATGTGCTAAAATAGCACATGCCATTTTAGCACACTATCCTATTTGGCCACAATCATCTTATTTGGGGGTCACATCACTTCTCTACCACATCATTTCAAACCCAACCCATATTTCACATTTTTTCGCAAAAAGTCAAATTGTATACTTATTTAGATCATCCCAAATACCCTCTTAATATTGTTGTTTTTTTCATTTGCAAAGGAGCCTTGAACATGTAGCTTGCAGTTTATGATATTAGGTCTGTCCACGCAAGTGCACTGAACAAAACTTACTTGTTGCTTAAAGTTCCAGTAGTTAGCTTGCTTTTGACCCTCTAATTATTGCAACTGTTATCATTTAAACCATAATCTATTCTAGATGCTGATAGTCTACCTCCCATGTGGCTATCTTTAAATCTAGGGCCTTGTCTTTAGCTTGAGCAAAACATACCATATCCCCTCGCAAATTATATGAATTAAAATAAACAGCTTACTCAAGGATCCAAACTGTTGTATTACAACTAGACCAGCATGGATGGAATAAAAGATATTGAAGTAGGAGAATGCAGGTTGAAGTCTGAGGGCATGAAATTTGTGTCAATAATTCTGAAAACTAATTCTATAACCATTCTAGCCCTCCCAGCACCCTCAATTATTGAGAGTCAAAACTTAATGATGTCCTTTTTCTAATGGGTTCTTGAGCCAGTGAAATGATTAAGAACTAGACGTGTGAAGAAAATTAAGGTACTCCACCTAACTTTTGCAAACAGACCAGAAGAAAAATGAGAAGAAAAATATTCACAAAATGTTGAAATTTACCATATTTGGAAAGAACATATTGTTTTATTGACCAGGAACAAAAGGGTAAAAAAAATGTGCCAAGCAAAATAGAAAATTGTCCCTCTAAATCTTTCAGTATCTTTGGTCCCAGTGAGTTGTGGTGGAACTTCATGGCCCTTTGCTTGTCAAGTTTCATTTACTTGTTGCTCAACTAGGTGAGTTGATGTCTATACTATTATGATGGCTCAGAATCGAGCAACCTATAAAAAAATCTACGGATAAGTGGATAGGCATGTGGACATGACTGATCTAATATGATTTCTCCATAATCAAGTTCATGTCATAATTCCAAGTTGCTAGGCAAAATTGACAAAAGCATAAGAAAATTATACAAAGAAATTTATGCAAACTAATTTCTCTTGTTTTAGATAAATTCTTTAAAAGTAATGTTTAGTTTCTATGATCATTTATGCCTTATCTTCATGGTATTTTTTATATGTAATTTTTTTTAGCATATTCATTTTTACATTTGGTGTTGCAAAGCTATCTTGTTTTACACTGTTTTTGTTTCTAAATGTACAGCTTTGTATGTGGGAATAAATCTTCAGCGAAAAGCAGTTCGGTTCGTATGGATGATGACAATGCTGATGCATTACAATTTGCAGATATTCCTGATTCGTTTGTTGATATTTTACCAGAGTCATACCCACTTATCATAACATTTTCGAAGTTTTTGATGATGCTTGATGGAACAGTTGGTACTTCATACTTTGAAAGATTCCATGATGCAAGACAACTCGCTCATGGTAAATCTGGAAATGTAAGATCACTGGCATTCCAAATTTTTATCAGGACAAAGGAGGTTACGTTTAAGAGATTTAGCTCATCTTACTGGTCTCATTTTAACATCCTGCTAACTAAAAAACTGGTTCCCATTATAGTTTTCACTGAGATAATGTCTGTGATAAAAGGTGGGTTGATAGCTGGGGAGGTATGTGATGGGAAGCTCAGTCGGCAGGATTATGTTTCATTATCTGAGTGTCGTGTTGGGTCCAGTATAAGCAGGCAGAAAAGGGAGATGATGTATGATATCTTCTTAGCATATGAGAAGAAAAAGGCAGTTAATGGAGAATTTGATTTTGCTGACTTAGTCATTGATCTTCATTATCGACTAAGAAATGAGAGGTATGCAGGTGATGAGATACGTTTTGTATTTGTTGATGAGGTCTAGGACCTCTCAATGAAGCAAATTGCTCTTTTCAAATATGTATGCCGAAATTTTAGTGAGGGTTTTGTCTTTTCGGGTGATACTGCCCAAACAATAGCAAAGGGTATTGATTTTCGGTTTGAGGATATACGGTGTCTGTTTTATGTGGAGTTTTGGGATTGAAAAGGGATGAAACTGATGGAAGAAAAGGGAAAGGTCAAATCTCAGACATGTTTTATTTGACCCACAACTTCCGCACCCATGATGGAGTTCTCAAGTTAGCGCAGTGTGTGATTGATCTTCTTTACTATTTTTTTCCTCAGTCAATTGATGTTTTAACTCCTGAAAGTAGTCTTATATATGGTGAAGCTCCTTCTATCATTGTGCCCAATCATAATGAAAATGCAATCTTAACTATATTCCAGAACAGTGGAAAGGATTTTGCCGGCTTTGGGGCAGAGCAGGTTGTTTTAGTTCAGGATGATAGTTCGAGGAGGGAAATTTCTGATTACATTGGAAAACAAGCTCTTGTTCTAACAATCATGGCGTGCAAGGGCCTAGAGTTTCAGGTAAATGAATTTCCTAATTTATCTATGCATTTCTAGTTTTGAGGGCTGCATCTTGGCTAAATGAACTACTGCCCGAATCAATGTTTTTCCATCCTGTTATTGTTATTGCTGTTAGTTTTTTTCTCTGTGAAGGCACGAAAAGGACAAATCACAGCTCATTTATATGACAAAGAGTCTTGAATTTTGTTCACAAATAGCATATAATTCTTCTCCCAATTTTACAACAAAAGAGAAAATTACATCTTTGTAAGAATTCCCTTCATTCTGCATCTGATCATAAGCACATATTCAAGATCACCTCTTAGATCCAGTTGTTGATGATGGTTTAGTTTTTTAAAGCTTAAATATATATATATCTCTGATCATGGGTGTTGCCATTGTGACCTGTTGCAAAGGTACTCAAGAAAACCATCTTTGTGTACATATGATTGCAGTTAGGACATTTTCAGATGTTCTTCATGATTCATGGGTTTATAAGTCCATATAGTTTTAACATGGTTTGTGTGGTTAGTCAAACTACTGAAATATAAGCTTTTTGTCCGACACGGGCATCAAAGTCATTAACACAAAAGAACAAGTGAAGAACAACAAAAATATTAATGTTTCTGTGAACATAATTTGTTAGTTATTGTCAAATAAGTCAATCTCTTAAAAGGTGTAAATGAATAATAGAATCTAAAACTTACTCGGTAGTAATAATATTAGGTTAAATTACACTTTATCCTAGATATGTTTGTGATTGGTTAGGGCTTTGTTATATTTAGCAGACTTTATATTTAGCAGACTTTGTTATTGGCATTAACTTATTGAATCCATCATTTGGGTTCATAATAAATTTGAAGTTGCTCGTGCTATAGAGCATAGATCCTCGAGCATTGTACATGGATGTGTTGTAGGAGTAACTATATATTTTTTGGGTGGAATTGCCACAACATGTGCATTCTTCTTAGCAAGAATTACTGTAGTAAGAAAATGGCTAAGAGGATTTGAAAGGCATTGCGGCATTAAGATTTTTAAGGTTTAGTCAAGACTTAGCCCAAGATCCCACTAATAGTCGTATTTGGTATGGTATTGCTACTACACATGACTTCAATAGTCATGATGATATACTAAGAAACATCTTTGTGAGAATATTTTTGCTTCTCACTTTGGGCAATTAACAACGCCACCCTATTAGTACACATTAATGTGTATTTAGGAGGGAAAAGATTACACACTTAGTGCAATGCAATACACCATGTTACTTGCTTGGTAGAATAATGACACTGAATTGGTCAGTGCTTTGTATTCTGTATTCTCCGTTTCTTTGCGGCAGCATGCAGCGTGCTCATCTGCAGATGGACGACAGACAATCAAAAACAGCTTTAGAAGAGGGAAAACTCGAAGATGCAGTCAGTTGTAGGGCGAAGGTATTTAATATCCACAATCATGTGCTTTATTTCCTCTGTGTATATCAAAAAGTATTTAGATATAACCTTATATTTTGTGGCTGTAGTACTTCTCTGATTACCAGGTTCTTGCTATAGTTTTGTAACACACAGGAAACTTTAATCAGGTTTTTTTTAAATCCGTTCGTGTATTTAGCATTTTTTGCTTAACAAATTGTTGGTGCGCTTTATAAAGTTCACCATAACAAGAGGATGCCTGATTTAGTTATTTTTGTACAGGTAACTGGTGAAGGAGATGACAAATATTTGATTGTTACTGCTGAACAACCACTATGTGCTTATCATCTAGATGATTGGATCCATCCTTCACAGCTACCAATAAGGTTATAACTACTTCCATGAATGATAGTTGCCTTTATGGCTACTAAAGAATGTTGGAGCATGGACACAGATATGACGCGATACGAGCACTCTGACAACTTTTAAAAAGATTTGATACATGAAAATGATAATGACTTCATTTTTAATAAATAATAGGACATGCTTGGTCATGTGTCCGATATGTGTGGATGTGTGTCTAACAAGTGTCTGTGTCCAACGTTGAACATGGAAACAACACCTTTTTAGAAGTGTTTCTGCTTTTTAGATGGTGGCTTTTATGTTTTATTTTTTTGGTTATAAATCTTTAGTGGCTGCTCTTTGTTGAATTTATGTTGCATGAATTAGTAGATATGGTGGATATTCTTCTTGCTTCCGCAAAGAAGCAGGTTCTCATGGTCACGATACTCTTGGGATTTTCTGAGTTCACCAGTTTGAGAAAGTGGAGCAGTTCTGCCTTGCTAGTTTTAAGTTCAAATATTACACTCTTATAATAATAATAGATATATTAAGTTCGAACACTCTGTAAATTTGTCTTAGCACCACCGACCCATAATTTTTCACTGCATCCAAAAGCTAAAAGCCAAGCAACCCTACATGGGACTTCCAAACCAAATGATCCTCTACTCATCCCTCCTCTTTAGTCAGCAACAATGGTGTATGATACTTCAAATTTGGTTGAAATTGCCACTAGTTTTGATTTTTGATGAAACTGGTTTTCACTGGACAAGTCCAATCAGTACACACACACACATATATATATAGTCGAGACGTGTGCAATTGAGATTAATTTCTATTCATTAAGCCAACCCTTATATATAACCTTAGGTATGTTGCTGCTATTGCCCATAAGCACTTTACATTTCACACAAGAGAGCAAAAGAGAGAGAGAGAGAGAGAGAGAGAGCAATATGTCAATGGAGGTGTATAAGAGAGCAAAGCCATACTTGGCAATGATTTTGTTGCAGTTTGGGTATGCGGGTTTAGGTATTATAGCCAAGTTTGGTCTAAACCAAGGGATGAGCCTTTACACCTTCGCTGTCTATCGGAATGTTGTCGCCGCTCGTCTTTGCTCCTTTTGCTCTCCTCTTTGAAAGGTTTTCCCCTCCCCCCTCTCTCTCTCTCTCTCTCTCTCTCTCTCTCTCTCTCTCTGTTGGGGTGGCTCCTCATGTAATGGGACTTGCTGGGGTGGCTCCTCATGTAAACCCTGCATTCTTTGGCAGAGGAATGGCAGCTAATGGAATGGGAATGATGGGACCCACTGGGATGGAAGGACATCATGCAGGAATGTGGACAGACACAAGCATGGGTGGATGGGGAGGGGAAGAACATGGCTGGAGGTTCAGAGAATCGAGCTATGGTGGTGAAGATGGTGCTTCTGAATATGGATATGGAGAGGCAAGCCACGAAAAAGGAGTAAGATCAAATGCTGCTTCCCGGGAGAAAGAATGGGGTTCTGAACGTGATTGGTCGGGAAACTCTGAGAAAAGGCATCGTGATGAGAGGGAGGTGGAAAGGGACAGATCTGATAGGGAACACAGGTACAGGGAGGAGAAGGATGGTTACCGAAACCCTCGGCAAAGAGAACAAGACTTGGGCTATGAGGATGACTGGGATAGAGGACAGTCTTCTTCAAGATCTCGGAGCCGGTCCAAAGCGATGCCAGAAGAGGATCACAGGAGATCAAGGGATGTGGATTATGGGAAGCGCAGACGCCTGCCATCAGAGTGACATAATCAAGCTTTTAATTCTCCATATAAGGGTCCTATGAGACCTTGCCCTTAGCATTTTCAAATCATCATGTCTCATCAACGGATTGCTAGAATGCATCTACCTCTGTTCTTTCTGGTTTACATGCAGTTTAGCTTCTGAACTAAAAAAGTAAGTTCTGTTTATGTGTGGGTAGGAAGGAAAAATATATCTTCCTCTTCGCTTTTACCTACAAAACCTAATTTGATGCAACACTTGCATAAAAAAACTTTATAGATTTGAAGTAGCTTACCATTGTGGATTTGCCTTTTAGGGGTTGGACTGTTAATGCCCAGCTAACGGCCATCCCATTGGTTCCATGTTTGTTTTACTAATCCTCCTTTTTCAAGACTACTACTTCTTAGGGCATGCAACCTTGAGATACTAGAAACTTTTTGCTATTCTATATGATTTTGTGAGTTGGTTGTCTTTTTTCTTGGTGAAGCCTTTAACCACTAGATGGATAGAACTGTATTATCCCGTCATGATTATTGCAGTTTCCTTTCTACTTCTGACATACTTCAATGGTAGAATTTTGTATAAAGATATTTGACCATGGCAAGTTATCTAATTAAGTTCTTTATGTGCAATTGGCATGAGTTATGGCCAAATGATTGTGTTTCCTCTGTTCTGGTGTTTGTTAGAAGATAATGTGTGTTTTGAAGAATTAGGTTTATCTTTTCAATTTTGTATTCATAGAAAGCTTATATGCGTCTTTGGGTGGGTTCTAGCTTTCTAAGACTTGTCTTGGTGGATATGAATAAATCCTGTTAGAACAGCCAAGAGGAAATATATTGTTCCTTTGGTTTCTGACTATAAAATCACAGTAGACCTTACGGGTTAAGTACTATCATCAATGTACTCATATACACAGAGCCCCTCGGAAATAATCTCTCTACAGTGGTAACATCCTGCTGTCAGTGTGTGAGAAAGGAATGACATATGCAACTAATAGAATCAATTCCAACTTTGTCAATTAGGATGATCAGCTGAGTTTATATAGAAAAACCATAGTTTGACCAGTAGTTGTGTTGCAGCCATTGTCTCACTTAAAGAGCAAGTGGAGGGGATACAGGAAATCAACCTGTCAGGTGGAGGGGATACAGGAAAAACCAATAAGTGTATACTGTCAGGTGTTTTGAAATGCCTTGGTGACAATAAAAAACATATGAGAGAAAGCACTCTGACTACTTTAGATGCTTGGCTTGCTGCTGTTCATCTCGACAAAATGGTTGGGCTCCAATTTCTCTATTTTGTTTATGCATTAATCAATTTTATATATTTATCATGCTTCTCTGATAAATTTTCCAATTCTGTTTCTTTATTAGGTGCCTTACATCACTACTGCTTTGATGGATGGGAAGCTTGGCACGGAAGGGCGTAAGGATCTTTTTGATTGGCTATCAAGGCAACTTAGTGGATTAAGCAATTTTCCTGATGTTGTAAATCTAAATTAGGACCAGTTTATGCGTACGTCGCCTAAATCCCAAGACCATGAAATTAACGACCGGGCAAACCTCTAGTGGCTCCAAGGTTTGAGATGTTTGGCCTTGTGGGTTTTGAATCTACAACCTCTTGGGTGGTAAGCCCTTTGGTTGCTTTCTTTACCCACTAAGCCAAACCCTTTGGGGTTATAAAATGAAATTAATTTATTTCTAACATCCATTAAGAGACTTTAACTATGGTTGAGAAGATAGAAGTGGATCTGTGGATTTAGGCAATAAGTTGACTGAAACCAATAAATCAGAATATTTCACTTCAAATGTATGATTAAAATTTAATTATGACTTAATTGTAGTACAATGCCATTCACCTAATTCACATAACAACTTCTAAAGTTATCAAGAGATTTAGGAACCTCTCCCAGTGGTCAACTCGGAGGTGTGTGCAAAAAGAAAATAAAGACGGAAAAATAAAAAAGGGTAGACATTTCTGTAATTGTGGATCCCACAAAAAGCATAATCCTAGAGTCCAAACAAATGTTGACCAATTTAGACGACTTGTAATCTACAACTTAATAAATTCGAAGTGTAGAAACACAGAAACAACCACAGAAAATCAGGTGGAACAATGTGAGTGAAACAATATCATTAATGGCGAACCCACCAGCTGATATGTAAGGCCAGAATTATTTGATGTGCTTGGTTCTGTGGGGAGATCATTTTTTTTTCATTTTCATGTTAGAGCATGGTACCAACAGTACGAGCTTCCCTACAGGATTGGAGAAAACAGATCACTTAACCAATAAGTTGGCCTCAATTATGCTACATGGACTTGTGTATGCGTATTGGGTGGGGGTATGTGTCCAAGCCTTGGACCTTTTCTTAATTTTAGATATATTAAAATATGTATCCAAATATTAGACGCGGGGCATGTGGGCAAGTTCCAAACATTTAAAAACATTGTTTATTGCATAATATCTGGATATAAGATGCTATTATTTAGAATGTACTTGAAATTAAATAGGATTTAGGGCAAAAGGAGTTCTATCTCCTATCCATGTGAGAAGTTAGAAATTTTTCTTTACTATCAAAAGTGAGCTCCTTGTTCTTTAAACATTGTTACAAATTAGAGAATCCAAGTGTATAATACAAATTCTTCAACTACCTTTCACTTGTCACTTCGTTCCACTCACTGGCTGTAACAGAATTTACATCCATTCTTGGGCTTTTTTTGCTTCTATAGCTTCAATCAGCTTTACGGCATCCTTAGCAAATTTACGGGATTCACAGAAATTTGTTAGATCATCGACCCTCTTTATTAGATAATAAATTCACTAAGGGCCATCTGAAAACCTGGGGCTTGCAGATGAAACCTTTGAATAGAACATGCCATTGTGAGGCATCTCCATTAAAGCTTAAAAGGAGCTTTGGATTTCTTCTGGTAGAATTATATAGCTAGAAACAAATCAAGACACATTCAATCTTCAAGCGACTCCTAAGATTAAGAGTTCTTGGTGAAGAAATTTATGAAAATATCAATCTGATTTAAAAGCTGCTTCTGATTTCGTATCTGCTGAACTAAAAACACTATCTATGATCGCATAACCTGCCACTTGCTGGATGGCAAACACAGAAGGATAAGATGATCCTTAAAAAATTCAAAGTCTCTTTCTGAATAGGTTTAAGCTCTAAATAAAATGGTACCTGCAAAACGTAATCCAGCATCCCTGCATGCAACAGCAGTCATCATCATGTGTGAACCATCAAGTGAGTGCACAAAATTCGGAGGAAATGTTGTTCTCTGTTTCCTAACCTCAACCTAGAGTTCACATGATAATGAAAGTTATGGCAACGAAAGGTGTCAGAAAAGAGGGGCGAATTTCTGACAAAAAGATGATATGTACTTACAGAGTCACCCTCACGCTGCAAAGCCAACACCTGAAGAGAAGTTCTTATCTGCAGCACCACGGTGTGATCAATATCATTTCACAGATTTTATGAGGAATTACATTGTATGATTTCAAAATACAACTAAACTCAAATACTCACAACATGCCGTTCAGTTTTAAAGTAGGGTTGCACAACAGGAAGACCTAGAGGAGTTGTCCAACGCACTGGTTGATTTTCTAAAGCAATAATCTGTAGAATTTCAATAATCAAGATTCCATATTCAAAAATAGGACTTCTGATCAAATTTAACAGTCCAAAATTTGAAACAAAAGTATACCTTTGCACAATCGCCAAGCCAACCCATTATCGCACGTGCAGCTTCGAATATTTCTCCAAGGGCAGACATTGTCACCTAGTTAAAATTGCAGTATTGAAAAGAATGATTTTTTTTATTTTATTTTATTTTTTTTTAAAAGAATGACTGAAATGAAAATATTACGATTTGATCAGAGCAGCAAAGTTCATTTTTAAATCTTGGTATTAAACATCATGTGCCTAAAAATTTAACATTTGAATTAAACAAATGCATAAAGAACATACTATGTTTTTCTAAAATAAACAAATGCCCCACAGCCACAAACCAATAGATGAGGCACACATGGTCTTCAAACAAGATAAAACCAATGTTTAGGCACATGCCTATGTCAAACACTAATCCCCTGGCAATTTATGTCTTGCAATACATATTTCGAAACATGGTACACTTGCATTCTAAAACAATGAATTTAGTGATTCCAATTTTTCCTATGTATTTTTCCTTGACATTTTCCATAGGAGAAAATAAATCAAACAGAATGAATTAAAATCTAGCAGGTGTGGAATTTCAACTGGACAAAATGTCAAAAAAGGCCAAACTGCTCCCAGAAATGTGTTTTTAAGTGATTAATTTGTAGGATAATATACACTACGTTTCATTGGATGTCTCAATGTTTACAATAAATTGGTATCAAGTTTGTAGTACCTTAATAAATTTCAAGTGTGATCAATATAAATGATAAATCTACCCCTATCAAACCACATTTTAGAGCATGTGTTGTATCACAACCCTGTTCTTGTTCCTCGTACTGAAATGATCCATGTTCCAAGTAATATTGCTTTGCCCAAAAGCACAACACAACTCAATAATTTTCCAATTTAAACCCCCCCTAAGAGAATGACATTGGGTTATGATATCAAAGTTCTAGGGAAACCTATGGCGTGAGTTCGAACACTATGCTATGGGAATGGGGTCACATTTATAGCCTATCATGTATGAAGAAAAACTCAAAAGTAACGAAAGGGGGGGAGGAGAAAGAAATAGATGGATGGAGTTTCTGTTGACAAATGAAGGAAATTGGGTGTGAAAGATTGATATAAATTGTTGGGCCCATGTTCAAATAGAAAAACGTTTCAGGGAAAATTGTTTCTCCCAAGTTTTTCCCTCTTTCCTTCATGCTTTTGCCAGCTGAACACCATCCATATGTAAGGAAAAATTTAGAGTCATTATTTTTCTTCTTTTTATTTTCCTCAACTCTGCTAAACCAAACGGAAGGATGAAGGACTACTTTCTTTTCCCAGGGGTTCTTCCATTACTATTATCATTCCTTCCTCCTCGCTTTTTCATCCCATACAAAATCCTAGAATAAGGAAAAACAGAAGCTTCATGTGATGGAAAGTTACAACTTGAAGTAGCATCACAGAAGCTTCATGTGATGGAAAGTTACAACTTGAAGTAGCATCATGAGTAAAAGCTAAATGAGTGACGCATAAGTCTTGGTCAAGATCAAAATACAAGCAAATGCTTCACATGAATATGTAAAAAAATGGCAATCACCTAAACTGTGCCAACTCACACTCAGTTGTGCGCGTGGATAGACCCATGTTGAATTAATCATTTGGTGGGATGCTCAGCACAAGCTAATCAAAAGAGAAACTTGCTAAAGAAAGGTACCACTCAACTCCTAATACATGGTGAGGGATGGTTGTGATTTTTAGAGTTACAGTTTTCTATAGGGCATTGCTAATTGTCCAGTAATGTTCATTGGAGCTTACATTGTCCCCACAACCTCAGCATCTAGAAGCAATCTCACCACCTACAAAAGCTGGGCTCCTTGCCACATTTCAACTATCCATCACATGAACCAAGAGAAATCTTTCTTTTGATGTAAAAGGATTACAACTTGAAGTAGCATCATGAGTA